ACAACAATGCCGAGTAAACACGACGTTCCCTAGGTAACCATTGTTGTCGATTTGTTGATATGGATCTTACACGTTTTCCTAGGTAACAACAATGCCGAGTAAACACGACGTTCCCTAGGTAACAATTGTTGTCGATTTGTTGATATGGATCTTACACGTTTTCCTTTCGCTTGTTTGCCGAATGACCCTTCCGTATAGACGTATTTACGTCAAAAAAAAGGCTGTCTTCTTTTCTTCGGTAAATAAACAGCTTTCCTTTGTACTTGCTTTAAACTGTACTTTGTACGTCGGTACAAAATTACGTACGTGCAAAACAGTGATTTTGTGAGCGATGCAAATTCTCCACACAGCAAAGCGCAAAGGATGTGAGGTTTCATTGCACGCAACCTAAATTCAAGGCGGTGTGTCATCATCATCGCGCCGGTGCTCGAAAGTGCTACGGACTTCGGTAGGTGACCGTCTTCTGTCTTAACCAAAGTCCGAATCTTCACACGTGACCCCAATCATGCTCGAACTTGCCTCAATTCTCCCACCCCCTACCAACTCACCCTGGTCCTGTGATTCTTCGACGCATGACCTCGGGCTGTTGGAGGTCTTTTGCTGGTAGCAGTGGCAGTGACCCACGAGCTCCTCCGCACTGCGGTGGCCACAGTCCCTCCAGCAACCATTTTGACAACACCGCTGACTCCACCGGTGGCAGAACCCTCGCTACCACCACAGAGGATTGTGGTCCACGGTGACGGAGGACTCGGTGCACTTGGGGGCGGCAAAATGTACAGCATCTCGACAGAGTACGAAGATCTCACACGCCCATTAGATTCACCGCCATAGACGCCTCATTTGTTAACACTTCACCACAGCAAACTTTAAACCACTCTGTAAGTTTCCAACACGAACGCATGTGGGTGAAGATTCGTGCTCCACCCACCAACTCCATCCGACTACAGATGCACTGTGAGACTACGAACAGTATCGGAGACAGAGAGAGAGAGAAAGATACGGAGGGCATCCGAACAACTGCAGCGCTCCTACTGGCGAGGGCCACGAAACTCAAACACCGTTACACTGATTCACGCGACCCTGCGCAGATAATGGCGCCCGGATGCTTGCCGAAGGATTTGTCCGCCCACACGGGTAAACCAATTTCGTACATTTACCACTGGGATTGACATTCTGACACACTCAGAACCACGGCTAATAAAACATCGCAAACGCACAATCCGCTTTCCCCACCATGGCACAAGGCCTCCAGGAACTGGCATTAGCTACAGACATAATAATAATAAAGACTCATTCGGTACCGCGGGAGACACAGGTGGGTCATAGGTCCTTGCTGCCTCCAACATCATCGCCCTGATGATGGAGGCAGCAAGGACCTCTGAAACGTTGGTTAACATCGACCAGACTACACAGCGCAACATCCCAGAAGACAGAAATCTTCATACTCTGATGACGGAGGCAGTATGACCTCTGAAACGTTGGTTAACATCGACCAGACTACACAGCGCAACAACCCAGAAGACAACCATATCGAAAATTTAAATTTGGCAAAAATCACTTAGGAGCCAACGTTTTAAAATACAACAAATAGAAATGAACCACAAAAGCACCCCTTACAAAACTTAAAATTTGATTTTTATTGTTTTTATGGAGCGATACTTCAAACGTATCGATAAAATCTTGTAGCTCATGGCGGTGAGTCATGCAGTTCCTTCTGGGAGTTACAGCTCATTTCCCGATTATCAGCGAACGCGTCGCAATACTGAAGCACATGATTGCTGAAGCATCACTTGAAAGTGCTCGACTAATCAAGACGATAAAAAAAAGTTTTGTTTTACTGGAACAATTTTCTCTGTCAAACATAAAAGGCTATATCCCTCGACTGCATGAATCATTTATATCTAAAATTTCTATATAAAACATTACTGTCAAACATATACTACGAAATGTGATAATATATCACTTTAACTCCATAACTGATTACAAAAAACAACAAAGTGTCCGAAAATAATGACAAGAAATAATCTCATTCTGATGTAAAGCTCAAATATACACTTTATATACTTTAACAGAAATATCGATCTCTTATATCGAAACATCGATTACGTTTGCCACTCAACTATCCTCTTCCGTAAAAAAACACAAGTAAACAGAGATAAACGATATTTTAAGCCCACAGTCCACGTACCTTTACCGATAGCAATACTGAAAAATGCATAAATTATATCAATTCGCCCCCAGCTTTTGTGTGTGAGGGTAGTGTGTTAATATAAAGATAAACTAGTTAAGAGTTGATGAATGAATCTTATCTTACGTTGAACACATACTTTCAGATGTTTACATCTACTGCCATCTATTGGCACTTCACGCTACTTATGTTAACGCCTGCGCAGTGTTTGCAATTTCCTACAGTTTATACAGAACGTACCAAAAGTCACGCAACTCACAGTGTAAAGATAAATATATCTTGCTAGTGCAGAGGTTCCCAAACTTTTATACCTTGCGCCCCCCTTAAAACATTTCATAAATTTCACGCCCCCCCTTCCAGAACAAGTGCAAGGAAACAGATTTGATATAAAATGTATCTATGAGTATACAGCACTGTATGACAACTAAATTGCCTCAACCAAGCAAAAGATGTCAAAATTGTTTCTCCATATTTCGTTAAAAATAGTTTTTCATACAAACAAACCACAAACAAAGACAGAATTCTTTCAGTGACACCATTTGCTACTGTGCATTATGTCCTCAAATGAACTTCTCTTTCATATTTGCACTATGCAGACATCCAAACATCTGTTCAAATAAAGAGCTACTGACAGACAGTGCTTGGATACTTACGAAAAAATAGTACCCTTAGGCTAATACACGCCATTCCTTAAAACGACCATTACAGATCCACGGCCCAAATCAATTTAATAAAAAAACTCACAGCCTTTGGTAGAAACAAGAGTGCATTTAAAATATGCACGTTGCGTTTATTAAACATACATAAACATGACACACGTAATTTTCAAGATCACTTTATCTTATAATTATAAAACGTTTTGAATCTATAATGATGTAAATTAGATAAACAGACATCTTTGAATGTAATTAAATTCATTAAGTGTTATGTTAAACTCTGTCTTCCTTTGTTAGACCATTACGATTTGCTTATCAATTAGCAATTTACAAAAACTTAACTACGCTCCCTGGGTGTTGGAATCTATTTTCAACCTGACTACACTATTTTATTTTAAATTGTTGGTTTTAGTTTCAAACAAAGGAACAAAACAAATTTTTTGTAACATACTGAGTCAATAATTTAAGTTACCAGACTGGAATGCCAACCAAAGTTACTGAGAAGATCTGAATTATTGGAATTGATCACTTAATTTGATAACTCAGTGTTTATACTGTCCGCTACCATCTCTACATAGACAGAAACATTTGAAGAAATGTAGGCATCAAATAAGACAATGTCTCTTTTTAATATTTCTTTAGAATGTGCAATAAAGAAAATGCAGAAGATTTTGAAAGAGATGAAACTTAATGGCATGCTGACAGTGTTCGTGAACTAATTATGAATGGCACAAAATCTTTTACAGGCTAGTAGAGAAAATTATATAAGAACATATATAAAACAATAAATTAATTAGTCATCATCAACTTTAAGGACTGGGCCTGCTGACCCATTCCGAGATAGCTGCTCAAGGCAACTTGTCCTTATTAGTCTTGTACAGCAGTGAGTGACAAGCCCACTGCCTCTCTGAAGTTTCTAATTTCTCCAAAATCATAAAGCGTGAGTCATAATGTTAATCAATTAAAAGTGTTTCAAAAGTGTAATATCCGGGAACATAAATAATAATCATGATAAATCTAGGTGAAGAAGAAGTTCAGGGAATTGGTAATTTTTCAGTTCTGAAACAATAACCCTATCTACCTTGCAAAATGCTAGAAATTGTACTTACAAAATAATCACTTATTTCTTGTATATTACGTGCCAATACAAAGTTAAACAAACCTCATGTTCATCCTTTAATGACAATATTCCATTCAATTGTAATTATAAAAATTCCAGTGATCTTTAGAAAAACTGTCAATATGACATTTGCAAACTAAAAAATGTTCCAAATTACTCGTTCAAATTATGGAAGGTACAATTGAAACATATTATTATTTCACACCTATTTATGTATACTGTTTTATACAAATATAACGATAAAAATATTTCTGTGTACTCACAATTAATACAATTTGTTTTTACTTATTTAGTTTGTATACTTACAGAACTTGGTGGTGAGCTGCAACTACTGACGCTTGGAGACCTCTGAATTGTGACCAAAGCCATAACAGTAGTTTCCACATTAAATAATTTATGTTACGCTAGGAACTGCTTATTTATTTGTGGCATCTTCTAGCGCCCATTCACGTTAAACACCGATTTTTTACTGAGTATCACTTTACTATGCACTTCATGGAGCCATTTTCATTTTCCATCAGAAAGTAGACAAATGAAGGGACTCAATGCACATGCGTCCAAGTCTTATGAAAATATTTTCGTTCAAACAACAATATCCTCAAAGCAGAAGCATACTCTGCGGAATAAGTTATCGTAACATTTAATAATTTACGTAATACTTAAGTTAGTACAATTATATATACATTCTTAATAGTCCATACTTGTAACTTTATGTACTGGAAAGTTTCACAAGCTGGTCATTTAATTAAACGACCATTTCTACGTGTTTCTTGCATCTTCTCATCAATTTCACCAAATAAACATCACATTAGACAGCGACACTTCCGGTACAGTGCCAGTTTTCGATAGGTCGTAACAATGTGAAAGTTCCGTTTCAAGTGTGTGCAAATGACATCTAGTTGTGCAATATAGTTGAGAAACAAAGATGTCTAAAATATTCACTCCTACCAACCAAATCAGATTAACAAATGTAGCAGTAGTTCGAATGAAAAAAGGAGGCAAGAGATTTGAAATAGCATGTTATAGGAATAAAGTTGTATCTTGGAGAAATAACATGTAAGTTTTTCACTCGTATCCACCTTTTTCCAGGTGTACACTGCATTGGTAAGTATGCAGAGCTGCACAGAAAATGGCAAGTTCTAGGTTATTTTCCTCATTACCTCCATCCAAGTTAATGCGGTGGTTGTACCTTGACATAGGCCATGACTGTACCTATGTTAAATAACCATTGAAGTTTACATACTTATACTAGCATTAAATAAACACTATCCAACCAGCCATTAGTCTTAAATAAAGAATTGAAGTGTGCCAGTCTACAATGATTTACATCTACCAAAACTGTTCCTGTCAGTCCTATGATATACTGTAATATTAAGGTTTATTTTAATATTTTCAGAGAAACTGATATTGATGAGGTGCTGCAGACGCATACTGTGTTTACAAATGTATCAAAGGGTCAGGTAGCTAAAAAGGAAGATCTTATTAAAGCTTTTGGGAAGGATGATCAAACAGATGTCTGTAAGGAAATTCTAACAAAGGGTGAGCTTCAGGTATCTGACAAGGAAAGGCAGTCACAATTTGAATTGCTATTCAAGGACATTGCGACAACAGTTGCAGGTAGTATTAACATCTGTATACGTAATCACAAGTTATTTGTAGGCATGTGTTCAATACAATATAAACTGCAAGTTTGTCTAGAAGTAATGTGAAATGGTTTAAAAACCTAATTCAGAATTACAAGTTTGTAGAAGAGCTCATAGATTCTTGTGGGTTTTCTTTTGCATGGGATACCATGCTTTTTCCTAGACTTCATCAGGGGTATCAGACAAGTTTTAAGAACCCCTAGTCTAGAGCAGTGTTTATGTACCATTTTCAATGGCGACTTCACTGCTATATCTGTGTGTAATAGTCTGTTATGAAAATGACAACACAGTCATTCATTTTAAAGAAACTATAAATTTTCACGTTTGTCATTGTATGAAATATATCTCGTGTGTTCTGTGATGTTTAATGTGTGCTTCTCAGCAATTACTATACATCCACAAGAACAACAAACATAAGTTTTTCCTGTAGTACTTTTCACTGATTGATGTACATAAGAGTGAACTTCATTTTGGGAAGTCAGACTACTGGTATTGACTGGGGAGACCACTGCCCAGTCCATTGTGCACTCCTGTTTTTGCTAGAGCCAGAACCACCTGAGGCCATTCTAATACCTATCAGCTCTAATTAGCAAAGATAAGGTGATAAAACATCATTCAGATGTTCAAATCAGTCACCAAAAAGAATGAAAATATTCAACATTTTACAGGTAGCAGGTCTTAATTGAATTAGAAGTTACTGAAATGTCAGAGAATAAATATGCTGACTCGATCCATTTTTCTACAGACAAGTGTGTAAATCCTGAAACAAAGAGACCTTATCCTGTGTCTATGATTGAAAAGGCTATGAAGGATGCCCATATTTCTGTGAAACCAAACA